AGATCATCAAATAAAAGGGGATGTTGTAGAATAAATCAAATAGAATGAACAGTGAGAAAGAACCAATAATAAAAATAAGCCAAATCTCAGAAAAGTATGTCAAGAGTTACATGGAGACGGTAACTTTGGGAACTTGTAAATTCCTGTGTTAGGATAGGTAAGGCTCATTCTCGTTATCCTCACAGGCTTAGGCTATACAAAGGGTATTTGAAACTGACATTCCTAATGGAAATTTTATAAAATTTGGCCCTTAGAATAACTGAGAAATATCCTGAAAAAATCTTCCCTGAAACTGTAATAAAGAAAGTTTCTTATCTACTGATAAAATTGACAACTCAGTAAACTATTTTCGCTGGTCTTCCTACATAAGAAAAAAGCACAAATATATTTGCCTCAGAAATCTGTTAAAAGCAGGGAACCACACAGTAAAAGAGTATAAAGATTCTATAAATGGGAGAGTCCAAGAAAACCTCTCTCAAAGTGTCCACAAGGATACATATGCCCATTAGAAGAAAAGTAAGAATATACATATTATTAATCATATCAGAGAATAAGAAAGTTAAGATTGATATAATATATTTATATTGAATGACTACTTTAAAATAGAGCAACTTATTTGCCTTATTTCTCAAATTCCTTGGGCAAAAGTCACTTAAATTCTGAAGTAAAAAACAAATGTAAATTTCTTGTACTGTACTACTATCAGAGGATTATGATCTCAACTCCCAGAGAAGAGAAAAATAAGTGTTGTCTTTTGAGTCTTTTTCTTTCACGAAAAAAACAACTAAATCACCCTGACTGCTACATTTATGCATATTTAAATCACTTCCCCTTGATTAACATTAAAAAGAAACATCTCTGCCCAAAAGAGTTGTAATGATTTCTTTCTCTAGCTAAAGGATAATCATTCTACAAATAATTTGCCCAGTGTCTGTAGTCATTCATAACATACATAATATTTGCAAAGCACAGTTTAAGTACACTGCCTTTTATTAGCATTTTTTTAAATAAAAGGGATGCATATCAGAGTGTAAGAACTGGAAATTACTTCCACAGTTTAAAGAATTAATAAGAGAATGCTGGTTCAATTTCTTAAAGATGGAAAGCTTACCAAAATGCCATCAGAGTCTGTGAACTACTTATAATAAACAGCAGGATCCCCACTGGCTAGGCTGCCGTGCACACAGCGCCCACCCCCTACCCCCAGGTTACCATTTTAAGATATTCTGTCAATGCTTAGTTAAAAATAAGACTTACTTAAGAGACCAACAAAAAAAAAATCAATTAAACTTTTATTGAAGACTATCCAGTGGCAAGAATACCTTGTATATTATATTATGTTTTAGACATTCAAAAAAGAATTCATTAAG